GGGCAGAGCAGTCGGGGTGCTGCCGAGTTGGTCCGGTATTGCCGCCCCTTGGTCCTGTGGGACCAACCCGGAGGCACCACATCTACTCTGCCGCAGGTGTTCCGATTCAGCCGCTGCTGAAACTGACCAGCAGTAGCTGAATCAGGACGCCTGGGGTAGAGCCAGACTATCGGAAGGGGGGGCTATGAGGGGTCTGGGGTGGCATCCCCCCCACACCACCCTAGACCCCTCATAGCCTCCCCTTCCGATAGTCCGGCATATCTGATAATCTGGCACCTCCTGGGTCCTAAAGATCCCATATTATCGGAAGTTTACTGTATTAAGTATCAATGGCACGCAGACCCATAAATAGAAGTGAATAAGTTAAATCTCGGCTTAAATTTAAAGCCACTTCTAAAAGATTTCCGACCCCTGATCTGATCTGACCTCCTGCAGATTTCAGGCCACAGAACCTGCAATAGATCCCTGGATAAGCAACTAATATCCTCCAATCGTGTTTTAAAAACTTCAGGTTACAGAGAATTCACCATTTACACTAGTTCAAAACTGCAAGCAACCCTTGCCCTATGACAGATGTGACTTGAAGCACAAGAATCATATGAACAGATGCAAAGAATCCAGAAGATTCTAATTTAATTTAAAATTAAAGTGCATTTTCACAAACTACAGACATAAAAAAGCAAAAATCCCTCTCCTGTAACAATGCTGGGAAAAGAGTTTAGAAATGTCAGTAACCAAAAGGAAAACCAACTATTCTTCATGTTACAAAGAGATGTGGGAGGCAGTTATATGATATATAGAAAGAGGCCAAGATTTTTTTTTTAAATCAGTGCCTAAAGTTAGCCTATGGAATAGATATTTAGATATTCATATGAGAGGCCTGATATCTAAAAGTGTTAACCCAGGGTGCCAGGGAAAGGGCATAGTCCTTTCATTTTTTTGCCATCGGCCTCACCCCTGTCCTTCCTTTTCCCCAAGAGGCCCAGACAGCTGTGGGGAGAGGTCGACATTCTACCTGACTAGGGTGGAGGACCTAAGATTGGTCCCCCTTATCCCCACTGCTCAGGCACCCTGCCCAGGGCAGATGGAGCGTTCATAGCTCCCCGCAGTTGTCCAGGCTACTTTCACCATGGCCCAGCTGTGACTCAAGACCCTGCTTCCTGATCAGGCCAGAAGCTGGAGTTCGGTAAGAGTCATAAGGGAAGCTGTAGGCAGGGGGAAGAGCCTGCACTCCCCAGCCTAGCTCAGGCTTTCAGCATGGCCATGGGACAGGATTTCAGGGGGAAATGAAGGAGACGGGAGTAGGACCACAGAGAGGGCGGAACCTTGTGGCAATGCCACTTTTAGGAAGAATCTGTCACAGCTCTGCTGAGCAGCTCCCAGGACCTTCATGCCACACCAGGCTTGGATGAAGTGTGCTAACCATGTGTTATATTTTGCTGTGTTATTGAAATGTCCGTTTGTCATCCTAAGGTCCCAATCCCGAATGTGAATGCTCAGTTGAATCCTGGCACTTACCCAAAGCCCCATTGACTTCAACTGGAAAATGCCCAAGTATAGTCAGTCACAAGCTCAGGGCCTTATTTTGCAAGAAACCCATTCAATCTCATTTAAAAATAAATCTCTTTCTAAATCTGAGCTGACATCCTGGCTTCATTGAAGTCAATGCAAAAAGTTCCACTGGTTGCAATAGGGCTAGGATTTCACCTTTGTATTTTCCAATTCTACTGAAGAGGAACTGATTTTCTAATCTAATGTGAGCTTACTATTAAACACACTGAAAAATTCCGACTGACAAAATTTTCAAGGGCTCTTGGGTAGCAAAATGAGCTACCATACTAGCTTAGCCCCTCGAAATGGCAAACACGTCTAAAACCTCAGTCAGTCTTAAAATTACTATCTTTAAGTAAAGACATGTATCAATTTAAAAATAAATCAGACTAAAAAATGCATGAGGAAAATATCTCTCAGGAAATCTTGACTGACACCTGCCTTTAGCCCATCCAATAAGTTTCACCATTTTCAGAAGGAAATCTGCGTTCTTTTTCTCACCATTTGTACAAGTTGCTAAAGCAATTCATGCTGTTAGTAGCTAATGAAAGCAAATGTTAGTTCAAACACTGGTTTCCCCCTGTGCATTTTATTACCTATTGCAGACTATTTCCCAGCGTGAGAACCTGGAATTCTGACTTATTAGGCTTGGATCTTCTGGTCTTGATGCTCCAAAAAGCTGATCTGTACACACATCACACACATTTTTACCTGTGGCAAAATTCCAATACGGCAATGCAAAGGATTCATTGCCAATCAGTTTCTATAATGAAAAAAGAAACATATTAGCAAGAAATCACCCTATTAGAAACAGAGAGAGAAAAATTATGTCTAGATTGCAGAGTTTTTCCGAGATACCAGAGGTTCTTTCAGCATCCCTGTATTCCTCTCGATGAGAGGAATAACGGATGTTTCAAAAGAGGAGGGTTTTCTGAAATTTGGCCCCGTGTAGACAGGCCAAATTTCGGAAAAGCCTCTTCCAAAAAAAAAGCGGAAAAAGATTTGCAAATTGCATTTTGCAATTTGCGTATCTTTTTCCAAAATAATTCCTGCAGTCTAGACATAGCCAGAGAGAGAAAGAAAGGGTATGTCTACACTACCCGCTAGTTCGAACTAGCGGGGGTAATGTAGTCATCCGCAGTTGCAAATGAAGCCCGGGATTTGAATTTCCCAGGCTTCATTTGCATGAAGCCGACCAGCGCCATTTTTAAATGCCGGCAGTTCGAACCCCGTGCCGCGCGGCTACACGCGTCACAGAGTAGCTAGTTCAGATTAGGCTTCCTAATCTGAACTATCTGTACTCCTCGTGGAACGTGGTGTACAGCTAGTTCGGATTAGGAAGCCTAATCCGAACTAGCTACTCCATGCCCCGTGTAGCCGCGCGGCACGGGGTTCCAACTAGCCGGGATTTAAAAATGGCAGCGCCTGGCTTATGCCAATGAAGCCCATTACCCCCGCTAGTTCGAACTAGTGGGGTAGTGTAGACATACCCAAAGAGAGAGAGATTACTAATATCTGGCATGTCTATATTTTGATATTTAAAACCCAACTGCCATTTTCTCAGAATATTGTTTCAACTTCCTTCAGGCTATTAGGTCACTGATTCAAATCCAAGCAAGGCTAATAGTCATCTTAACGAAGCACTATACGATCTGATGGCCTCATATGTTAAGTTGATCCTACTTTGGATTTGGACTGAAAATGAAGATGGCCCAAAAATGGTGATTCTGACATTCTTGGGAGTCAATAGAGACCAAGGGCTCAGAGTGAGCCAACATGTGAGAAATAACCTGAGTAAACATACAGCTTATGTCAACCTTCTCTCTGCTAGACTCTTCAGACCTCTTGTGTAATACCTGTTCATTTTTATTATTTTTAATGGGAGGGGATAGAAAACCAAAGTCATCTCACCAATAAGCATCTCCTGAGCACTCAATTCACTTTGAAAAGAATGAACAATCATTCTTGAGATTTCATTGCGTAGGGATTGACTCTAGCTCAGATGTTCAGTTATTCCAGGGAATTCAGAGTTGGCACAACAGAGATTCCAAGTAATATGAGCAGTAGTAAGAGCAATGTGAGCATTTCTGAAATATGCCAGGATTGGTTATGTTGCTTACCTGGAGATCTCTTTCCAGCAGCAGCAAATGGTACCTATGCCAAGTAACAAAGGCAGGTCCTTGGTGGGAGAAATCTATAGCAGTGAATGGGCGGCCAGGTCCTATAAACAGGAAGGCACAGTAGAACTACAGCATCCAGTTGAAGTTAGACAAAAAATACTTTATATAACCTGCACTGTGAATTTAAAGCTTTGTTAAACTGAGCTCATGCTAGAGTACTATCCATCCGAAGTATACACATTTAGAAAAAGCTGGTGGGATTTTTTTTTATTTTAAGATTGATTAAAATGTTCATCAAAATTTCACATTCTAAAAAAGGAGGATACTTTGACAACATTTTTCACATTTTCCCATGTTTGACCACCTATAATTTGAAATGAAAACCATCATTAATGTGTGTTATGTCATAAATCATAGCTATTGTCTCATTTATACAACAGAGCGTTGATATGATAGTGTTTCATTGAACAAAAAATTCATGTTTACTATAGACAGAAATTTAAATCTAGCTCCAAATTATGGGCATTCAACATTTTCTTGTACCACTTTGTTTTAAAGAAGCCTTTCTCAAAGTGGGTCTCAGGCCCATTCTGAGAAAGCCACTAGCAGGCCTGTGCTGCTTTGTCTACCTAAAGGATGCATAGCTACAGAGCCTTGCAGCTCTCATTGGCTCCAGTTTGCCATTTCCAGCCAATGGGAGCCACAGAAATTGGCGGCCAGGCCACATCTTTTCTCGTGCCTCTCTTTGGCTGGAAATAGCAAATTAGAGCCAATGGGAGCAGCAAGGTACCCATTAGGTAAATAAAGTGGTGCAGGCCCACTAACAGCTTTCTCAAAGTGGGTCCGCAGCCCACTTTGAGGAATGCTGCTTTAAAGGCTGCATCCATTATCTTTGTGAGGTGTTCTGTCAGGCTCCCATCCACACTGTCACCGCAGAAACTGTGAAAAAAGTCAGCAAAAGTGACAACTACTAATGGCATTTTTTGGTACAAGGATGAATTTTGGAATCTGAGAAGGAAATGTGGCATTTTTACTCCTTCTCTTGCATGAATCACAAAGGCTAAAGTCTAGAGCCCTGCAAATCCACGGCTATCTGCTTTATATCTGCAGGTATCCACGGCTCATTTTTGTGGATACAGATGTGGATACAGATACAAAATTTATATCTAGAACCCTGCAAATTTGCTGTTGTATCTCCACTGATATCCGCATCCACGGATGTCGATGTGGATATCCGCAACTCATTTTTGCGGACATAGGTGTGTGTGCAGATACAAACTGTGTATCTGCGCAGAGCTCTACTAATGTCCTTACACAAATTAGGGTGGCCATACTCCCAAAAAAAAATAGAATGGCTAGGACTCACATGAGCTTCAGTGCCTCTCCCTCTGCAGGCTTGCCACTGCACTGGCAGTGTGGCCAGCAGAAGCAGGGAGAAAAATAGCTCAAAATATTGCAACTCGTAACTGCTAACCCAGCTAAGAATAGCCCAATTGGCTACAAAATCTCATCCTTGGCAATCAGTTGGCATATACCTACTGTGCCTAACTGGAAATCCAGTCCTCATCACATAACATGTTTGCAGCCTTTGCCGTAGTTGCTTCACCAAACACTTTCTCAGCAGCACCAGCAGCAGTGAAACTGACAGCAGCCTAGTCAGTGTCATGTTACTTCTCTCCTGGGGCAGCCCTTTGTGCAGGAGCAGTATAGATCGGATTTTCTATTGCTGTTGGGGCCCCTTGTAGGCAGAGAGGAAAGGCAAACAAGTGCTTGTCTCTTTTCTCCCTCAAGGCACAAATCTAACAGTAGAAGAGGCTCACTGCTGGTCTTTTCTGCCTTTTGCCACAGAGGCTTCCAAAAGAAAATATCTGAGGGTACGTCTACACTACAGCGTTAGTTCGAACTAACTTAGTTCGAATTAGTTAATTCGAACTAAGCTAATTCGAACTAACGCGTCTAGAACTAAAAACTAGTTCGAATTAGCGTTTTGCTAATTCGAACTAGCAAGTCCACATTGAGTGGACTCTGAACAGGGCTTAAGGAGGGCCGGAAGCAGTGCCGGCAGGGCATAAAAAGAGGACTTAGAGCATGGAGATGCTGTCTCAGGCTAGCCGAGGGCTGCGCTTAAAGGGTCCCGACCCCCACCCCGGACACACAGTTCTAAGGGGTGCCCCGCTTGCAAAGAAGTTCTGGCTTGGAGTGCCCTGAGTGCCCACACTGGGCACATCACACCACTCGGCCATCAGCCCGGCTGCACTTGCCGCAGGCTGCCATCTGGGGAGAGGGAGTAATTGGGGGGCTGCAGGAGAGCTTCCACCCCCAGAAGCCCGCAGAGCCAGCCCAGTCCTCCCCATCGGGGGCTCGTACCCCATTCCTCCCTCACCTCCTTCCACTTACCCTTCCCTAGCCCCCCTTCTTATTGATGTACAAAATAAAGATAACGTTTCTTCCAACATTGACTCTGTCTTTATTGAAAAAAACTGGGGGAGACTGGGAAAAGGAGGTGGGAGAGGGGAAGAGAAAGGCTGGGAGAGGGGAGGGCAACTAACATGATCAGGGGTTGGGAACAGGTCCCAGATGAAGAGAGGCTACAGAGACTGGGACTGTTCAGCTTAGAAAAGAGGAGACGGAGGGGGGACAGGATAGAGGTCTCTAAAAGCAGGGGTTGGGTGGAGAGGGTGCATTCAGAAAAGTTCTTCCTGAGTTCCCATAAAGAAGGACTAGAGGACACCAAAGGAAAGGAATGGGTAGCAGGCTTGAAACTAGTAAGAGAAAGTTGTTCTTCTTGACAAAGCAAATAGTTAACCTGTGGAACTCCTTGCTGCAGGAGGCTGTGAAGGCTACAACTAGAACAGAGTTTAAAGGGAAGTGAGATCAAGTCATGGAGGTTGGGTCCATGGAGTCCTATTAGCCAGAGGGTAGGAGTGGTGTCCCTGCCCAAAGTTTGTGGAAGGCTGGAGAGGGATGGCACGAGACAAATGGCTTGATCACTGTCTTCGGTCCATCCCCTCCAGGGTCCCTAGGGTTGGCCGCTGTTGGCAGACAGGCTACTGGGCTAGATGGACCTTTGGTCTGACCCAGTACGGCCATTGTAAGCTCAGGGCTCAGGGTCGGGGGTCTCAGTGGACCCCCTTGATTTTCATGCACACCTGCTCCTGGGTGGCCAGGCTGGCAGCTCTCCTGCCCTAGACGGCCACTTTCCTGTGCCTAGTGCGGAGATCGTGGACAAGGTCCACGATGTCCGCACTAGCCCAGGAAGGTGCCCGCCTCTTGCGGGCCAGGGCAAGCTCCCCGGCGTGGCCGCCTCTTGCGGTCCAGGGCAAGCTCCCGGGAGCCGCCAGCCTGGTCCCGGCAAGAGGGGGTGGGCTGGGGGGCATCGGGTGGGTGGCTCTGTGCCGTGCCAGGTGCAGGGTCTGCTAGCTGGGTGCTGGCAGGCTTGCACCTGGCATGGGCACCGTAGCCAGCCCGTGCCCCTTTAAGGGGTCCGGGGCCGGGAGGGGGGCATAGAGTTTCCCTGGTGTTGGCCAGAGTGGCCACCAGGGAAACCTGGGGAGGGCTAGCCTCCCACTAGTTCGAATTAAGGGGCTACACACCCCTTAATTCGAACTAGCTAGTTCGAACTAGGCTTAATCCTCGTAAAATGAGGTTTACCTAGTTCGAACTAAGCGCTCCGCTAGTTCGATTCAAATTCGAACTAGCGGAGCGCTAGTGTAGCGCCTATTAAAGTTAGTTCGAACTAACGTCCGTTAGTTCGAACTAACTTTGTAGTGTAGACATACCCTGAGATAGTTTCAATTTCATTCTGCCATTGCTGTCAAGGTGTCCCTGAGAAAGTGCTGTGCACCAAGGCAGACAGCAAAGGAATGATCTGGGGGAAAAGGTCAATAATTCACATATAAAAGGTACAAGGGTCAAATTTTCAAAAATGCTCAAAACCCAGTAGCCTCCTGCTTAGTCATCTAACAATATGGGCAGAGTTCTCAGAAGATCTCAGCTTCCAATTCAGGTATCTAAAGGCAGTGAACACATTTTCAAAATATTTAACATGCAGTGGCTTCAAATGAAGAAAATGGCTTGATGTTTTTCAACTTACTTATCCTTGTTCAATTATTACATTTTGACCATTCTAGATACCTTAGTAAAAGAAAGTACTGACCTAGTAGGGTATCCCTGACTGAGTAGTAGTGAAGCCACACAAAGTAGTTATAAATACTACAGTTTGCAACTTGTGGTTCCGTTCCATTGAGCCCAAGGAGACTCAGCCAGTGCTGTGTAGCAATCACATAGTCTGGGTGCGTGGTATTCTTGGCACGGTCTAAAGCATCTAAGAACTGCGCTCTCTCTGCTGCAGTCAAGGCATGGATATTTTTTCGGACAAGAAGTGGTTTTCTTTCATCACAGTTGAGGCCAGTCCAGCCAAACTTGCAGTCACCACAGTTATAGCCAGCAAAGTTTCCTGTGTTAAGAGAGAGAGTGCGGATTTAGGAAATTGTGTCTCTATTAATTAGTACACAAAAGAACAGACTGAAATGCAAAGGAACTGAGTTTGCTAGTTTGTCTTTTCCCTAGAGATTTCTATTCTGCAGCTGAGAATATTGGCAGCTTTGCCAGTTGCTTAACTGAAATGATGGCATACTTCCTAGATTCGTACAAGGCAGGTTATCAAGACAGGCCTACAGGATACTAAGAACTCTGGGCCTCATACAGCATAGCATTTAAATATGACCATAGTCTCGAACTTAATGGGATTACTCACCTGCCTAGGTAAAGCAGATAATACAGTGTTTTGCTAGCCTGGGCCCAGATTACTCAGTATTGTACAGGACTGATCCCAAAGATGTCTGACAAGGACTGCTGCTCTTCAAGTGTATTTTAAAAATAACAAAATTCAGGGCTGCTGGTGATGCACTGAAGTATCATTAAATGGTGCAGTGATACTATATAAAAGTGTGAAAAACTGTACTATGTTGGCGGGTCTCTCTTTACCCCACTGCCTTATGGCTAAAACAGACAGGGCATCCTTCTCCTGACAAGTGCTCTCGGCTCAGGTTTCCACAGTGTTTTGAAGAGCTCTGGAATGCATGGTATAGGCCAGGGAAGCACAGTAATCCCATATGGCTCTGTTTTAGCACTGACACATAGAACAAAGCCAAACAGCCTTATCACACAGAGTGCATTTTATTCTACCATCACTTCATAAGGGCATTTAGGAGTGCCACTGGGCCATGCTGTCAGACACTAAGCTTTATTAAATACTTTTGGAATTACTTAGATAATAGGATTTCAATCTTGTTCTCTTTTTCCAGCCTGGTTATCAATTATATTTCCACCGGTTAATGTCAAAATAATTATTTTCACCAAATGAACTAGCTCATCTACTTTTCTTTGAAAAGTGTAATGGTAAAATAATGTGATTGAGCGTTACTGTTTTGTACGCTGGGGTAGCAATTCAGCTCATATTCAAAACACAGAAATTAAATGCAGAAAATTGAAAAAAGGCAAAGTGTAATGAATGCTGGTAACTTCTTATTGCTTTGCAGTGATTCTGAAGTACTTCATATCTAACCACTATCATGACTTGTGCCAGAAACTCCTGCAATAGCTTCATAATAATCCCTCCTAGAGGGTAAACAATCATATACCAGTTTCTGCTGTCACTTATTTCAGCTTTACTCTTGCGTGGCTGAGATCAGAATCTAGCCCACTGGCTCCAAATACAAAACCTTTCTAATCTGCATTCAATAATTCAATTGAAATATTGCCCATAAGTGTAATTAGTGTCAGTTGCCAATTTACAAGGGTCACGTACTAATGCAGCCGTTCTTAACTCATGCTTGCAAAGTGCTTTGTCCAATTCAAAATACACAGCTTATTCAAATAAGAATAGGGAGGAAATGTCTCAAGAATTGTGATCACTACTTTTCATTGTAAGAATTTGCAAAAAGCTGAGTTGCACATTAGATATAGTAAGAGCATTTAAATGAGCTGGAAAAGGCATGCAACAGATTCAGAGATTACAACTGAAAAGAACTAATGTGTGTATGTTATCTTTCAGTAAGGCTTATGCCAAAATGTGCTTTGCATCCACTTTAAAGACTGGCTATTTTCGCATCTACCAGAATATTAAGTCAATTCTTTATAGAGAGCAAGGTTGTGAAAGCGGCTTTTCAGCGGGTTCTTTGACCACAATTCTCTTTGGAAAGAGAGGAATTGGGTCTCACTGATCACAGTTTACCATAGTAGCACATTAAGCAAAGAAGAACTACAGCTTAGATCTATAAAGAAAAGTGTGATTAAATAAAGAGGACGATTCAATAAAAAACAAGACTTACCCGGCATTGCCCAGTTCCTTCAGGGTGGCGGGTTGATGGTGTGAGGTGTGCTGAAGTCAGGGCAGGGCCTTGGGAATGTGGGGCAGAGCTCAGGGAAGGAGACTGGGGGCATGGGAGGGTGGAGGAGTCAGAGCAAGGGAGTGAGGAGGGACTGAGGGCAGGGAGTGGGGGTGGCCGCTGGCTTCGCCCCAGGGGAGGCGCTGGGCAGCAGGGACTGTGCACCCCACCTGCGTGCTTGTTCCTGGGGGCCAGCTGGGGCTCCCACTCTCCCCTGGCCTGATAGGGGCCTTTCTCCCTCCCCCTCAACCCATCCTGGCTAGGCCCATGGGGGCTCTCTCCCTCCCCACTGACCTCTCCCATGGGAGGAGGGTTAGCAGGGGATGCCTCCTGGGCAAGGTGCCCCACTTACCTGATCTGCTCGCTGGCAAGCAAAATGGCAGAGCCCCAACCCTGCTGGCCATTCTCCTGGTGGCATGGCTGCCCCTAGTGGCAATTTTGCAGAATAGTTCTTCCCTTCGGGCTTGCTGCCCCCAGTGGACACTCTCATATTGTCTCCCTGGGAACAGCAGCCCCTCTCTTTGCATGTTATGGAAAACTCCTTTTCCCAGGGATTCCAGTTGCCCTGGCACAACCAAACCCTGACCGTGCTTTAAGTTAGGTAAAAGGAAGATGCATATCAAATTTGGTGGTTTTAGCTCTTACGGTTTAGGAGGAGTTCTTGAACAAATGGACTCACAGACACACAAACAGACACATTCTTATATATATATATGTTTCTCAAAAGTGCTCAGCACCCAAAATTGTTTTCTTCCAAAGGAATTCAGCTCCCCAATCAGCAACAAAAAGAAATGGCTAAATTTCCAAAAGTGACCACAGTGGGAGCTATTGGGAACTCATCAATTAGTAAAATCAAACGATTTATCTGGATACTGTGTAAATGGGGTGTACACTGTACAGTGCTCTAAAATGTTGTATTCTAATTGCTCCATGTAGCCCTCACAGACACACGCTTAAAGGTCCCTATCCCATATTGCTGTAGTTCCCTTTGAAACAGCACCACATTAATATGCAATAAGATTTTTTTAGTCTGAATCATTTGGAGGTTCTACACGAAACAGATAGAGCATAATACTTTACAGAGCTCTATGATTTACACTACCACTATTGCTTACAAATTGTCACTAATGATGTGCTATGCCTAATCTTCTACAATTTCAATCTCGGACACTCAGCAACTGGACTAATTTGCAGAATGAAAGAAAAGCATACACGCCAATAGCCAATAGTTACTATGCAGAAATTATTAAAACCAATCCAACTCCCTTAGTCAGCACAGACCTTTTGACATTCACCTGGAAGAGCCCTACATTCAGTATCAATGTGGTTGCATCAGAATAAAGTCCAGATGACTTCTCTTAAAGTCATTATCCAAATGCTGCTCCTGTTTTGGTGTTTGATCACTGCTACATTTTCAGAATGAAAACTGTAAAGAGGAGAAGGAGTATGAAGGAACACAGCACAAAAGAAGAAAAATCAGTGGAGAGTAATGAATCCACAGAGAAAAGCTGGTTGTAAAGCTGTGAGGAACTAAAACTGCAAAGAAAGAACACAGGACTACACAATGTCAGGATCAAATCAGCTGGCTTAGAACCCAAACCTTCAAACACGTACTCATGAGCTTAATTTTACTTCCATAAGAAGTCCAATATCAATTGGATTTGACTTCACTTGGGTTATTCATAAGAGCACTGTTAAGCATATGAGTGTTTGCAGGATTGGGGACTTGATTCCTTAAACTCTAAAGCAGGGGAGTCCAAACTTTTTTCAAAGAGGTGAAAGTGAAAGAGAGGTGAGTTCACTTGATGAAGTGAACATGCGTGAGGGCCGGCCATTTTGCCTGACATTCTTTGAACCATTAAAATTAAATGCAAATTAACTATTTTATGCAAAGTTTATTGCAAACGGCATACTTTTCATTTCGTCACATGGATGACAAATCTAAACAGGTGTTAAATCACTCTGCCTTTCATATCTGAAGGCCAGATGAAAAAAAATCCAGGAAGCTGAAATATATGTCAGGAACATTGTGGTACATTACATATTATTGGTAATAAAGGTTGTCTGTCAACTTTTAAGTTCAAAAAATATGAACAGGAACATAACACCAAGTATACATGTTGTGTCCAAATATATTTATAACTGATTTAGACCAACTGACATTAACTGAGATTTTACAATGTATTCATCTCAATACATATGGATTCGTTGGGGGCCTTAAAAGATAGATATTGCCAAATTACCTGTGGGGCCGTATTAAACCGGAACACGGGCCGCAATTGGCCCGCGGGCCGGACTTTGGACATGCCTGCTCTAAAGCATCAGGTTTTAACACTTTAATACTTAAACTTTAGAACTAAAGGTTTCAATCAACTTAGACATTCTACCATAAGTCGGGGGCCATAGTTAGTAAGTGTGAACAATAGGGAGCTTTTTAAGGGGTGTATAATTGCTTATATAGACAAAACCTCTAATATTTGGACATCTGATCACCCTAACCACAGCAGAAAAATAATTATACAGAGAGCTTTTGTATGACATGTTAGAAAACAAAATCTTCTCTGTTCTGCAAGCACATTTAAAATCTCATGGTATTTGCAATAAGAGTACAGATTGGTAAAGCTGTTCTTGGACAGAATTCTCTCTCGCATGGACTCATACACACATTGAATATAATTATGTTGTGCACCAGTGCATCCATCCAGGAAAGGCTGCTGGTACAAAAAAGTATTTAAACATTTGCTTAAATTAAAGCATGTGTGTAAGTGATTTCCCAAATCAGGATCCAGATAGCTATCTGTGATACTTGCATTTAATTTGAGAAGCATTTGGAGATCCTTCAAAATAAAAAGCAAGACAGTAATGTAATTTATCATCATTATTATTATTTTATTTGTAAGATGTTTTGAAAAATGCAATGCTGGGTCGCGACTGTCATAGTATCTTATATTAGGGTTGGAAGAGACCTCAGGAGGTCATCTAGTCCAACATCCTGCTCAAATCAGGACCAATCCCAATTAAATCATTCCAGGCAGGGCTTTGTCAAACCTGGCCTAAAAATGTCTAG